CACCTTCGGTGCTGATCGATGCATTAATCCGTTGACAGAGATAATCATCAGTGTTGGCGGTGTCGGTGCATTGTCGACGATATTTTTGGCACTCATCAACCCAGGCGATGAGGTTGTCGTGATTGAGCCCGCCTTCGATTGCTATGCACCCCAAATAGAGGCAGCGGGTGGCGTCTACGTTGGTGCTCCACTAGTTCCGCCCAAGGTGAGTCCTAGCCAAGTCTACTGCACTGCTCAATTATTCACGCGATCACCACCCACTCTACCTTGCTTTGCAGAATGCGAAGTGCCGTGTCGATAGCAGCGAATTCACGGTCGATTGGGAGGAGCTGGAATTGAAGATCACGAGGAAGACGAAGATGCTTCTCCTGAACAGTCCCTGCAACCCAGGTGGGAAGGTGTTTACAAAAGAGGAGATAAAGAAAATCGCCGACATCTGCATTCGCCACAACCTCATCTGCTTATCTGACGAAGTCTACGAGTGGCTTGTGTTTCCACCTCACAAACACTACAAGATTGGTGCGTTGCTGGTGACCGAGCTAATTGCTTGCTTACCTTATAAACTAAGCATAACTTGAGTCCATATAATACTGGCCATTGAGTTCAACTGCTCTCATTGACAAATATGGTTTGTTTTTGGTAATCCCTTACCAGAATGCATGCAATTCAGAGTTGCGTTCATGAACGTTGATTGTTTGCTCGCAGTTACGAACGCACCAGCTTAAACTCAATTCGGATCAGATTTCTGAGGGTAATGCCTCAGCCATGAGATCAAACCTGCGGTAGTGTGTGGCATTACAAGCGAAGGATGCTACAGACGACATTTTTGCCTATTGTAGCCTCTTTCCCCGGCATGTGGGAACGCACGATAACCATGGGCAGTGCCGGCAAGGTGTTCGGTGTGACGGGTTGGAAGATCGGGTGGACGATTGGACCGGAGAGATTCATCAATGCTATGCAGTTAATTCAGCAGAACACCATCTACGCGGTGTCCACACCACTGCAGGAGGCTCTCGCACAGACAATCGAGGAGGTGCTTCCCGACGTACAAACCACGGACCGCTTCTTCCGTAAACTGTCGCTTGAGCTGGCAGAGAAGCGAGACCGCTTTGTGAACGCCCTCGCGTCAGTCGGACTGTGTCCCGTCATTCCACAGGGTGGCTTTTTCATGCTTGCCAATATCTCCAATGTTGGTACGTATTGTCACGCACACACACGCGATCTGAAGCAATCAGATTTCTGTTCTACCTATGCTTCACAATGCAAGTAAACCAATCATGCCAATGCATTCGCCGTTCCGCCTTTAGATGGACCAAAGCGAGAGAAGGACGACAAGCGT